TACGATTATTACCTTACGAGTTGTGATTCACGGCAGCTTTCGGCTTATTGCACAATTAAGCTAATGTTCGAGTGACAATTGCTATTAATTGTTATGGAGCCCTTCCTAATTCCCGGTCCTTTGGTGTAACATATACACATCAATTTCATCAGCTGTACAACCACTTCCCTCTGCGACACATTTATCAATCAACTCATGAATCACATTTTGATGATGTTTAGGTCTCAAAATAATCTCTTTTTTCTCCCCAAATTATGGTAATAACTTTAGTTGACATTTCAACGATGTTCATTCGCGTCGGAATATAACTTTCAATTGGACAGCTTACTTTTCAACACGAATGGTGATTAAATTATCTTCAACGCTCTTGCAAATCTATACCAACAATTTTCCAACAACAATGTCAATTGTCTCACCGAAAATTCTGTACTTTCCGGCAGCATAAATAATGATCTGCGTATTTTATCCGCTAAAATAAAGTACGGCAGGATTTTTGGCACCTGTAACTAGCTTCCCCATTTCAATGTCTGCAAATTAAAATTGAAATTTTAAATATTAACCAACATACTTATAAAACTGATAATGCCCTATCAAATATGAAAATATAATCCATATCCATATTTATTCATCAATACTAAGTTTCACTAAAAGATGAAAACAGATGCAAAGATGAAGAAGAAAACAATTCTTAAGAACTGTTTTAAAAATTGAAACAGAAAACAATTATACATTCAAAATAAGCTTCGCATTCTAAATAATGCTATCTTTATTCAAGTAAAAATTCAGCTATAATAGAATAATTAGCCATGGGTTCGTGGAAAGTAAGGATATGATTCGAATACTGCTCCTGCAGCTATACTCAATTTGCAAATCGGTCTCAGGTACGGATCAATACCCATAGACCTTATTGTACTCATCTGATTTCCAGTGTAAAGCTGTCGATATTTCGATTCGACGTGTTTAATGATTTCTATTCGTCGATTCAAAAAATCTCTGCCATTGATATGTTGACAATAAGCAGGTGTGCATTGATTATCATCAAAATTTGAACGATGGTGCAACCATAAATTCACACGAAATGGAGGCACTCCATCCACTAACATAGCAAGTGCAAAACAATCACCATCATTTAAAAGTTTCAAATCATCCAATTCAGCATATTCTGGTGGACTTTGTCTTTTTTCATTAACAACATGAAAAAAATCTAGACGATATTGTTCATATGGATTCTGATACTCTGTTAGACAGCAATGAATTTTATTCTATTTTAAAAGAATAGAAACATAACTATTATTGTTTAGATAATAAATCAGTTGGAAAATTTACCTTCGAAATGTTGATAAATGAATGACCACAAAATTCAACCCGAGTTCGAACAGAAAGAATCTCAACTTAATTTGAAGATGAAAATAAAGATTCAAAACTTTGTCTTTGGAACATAAAAACCAACATAGAACCAAGTTTAGACAATGAGCGCCAGATCAGATTTTTGGGTTTAAGGCGCATATTTTAAAACGATGCTGCAAAAGCCTCCAATTTCGTAAGTAAATTTATTTATGTACTTTCGACGAGTCTCATTGCCTACTAATTTTAATTACTAGTCAATTTGAAACAATCGGTTGTTTGGGGTTGTTACTTAATAGACACAATCAACACAAATATCGTATTTATGCACAGATTCATCAAAGATTTCTCTATTGAACAGTTTTCGAGAAAATCAGTCAAACCGATCGCTTTTAATGATCATGAGAGTTAACGAGCTGAAACTTAATATTTATCCATGAAAATGGTGGATCACATCATGGTTTGAATAATTTAATTATTAATAAATTCAACATTTTTCTTGATTTAGGTCACTGACCTCGAAACTTTGAGTCGCGATATTTCGAGATTGTACCGAATAAAATCTAAGCTAATTAATTTAATATGAAGATCCTTCTAACACATAAGTTTTTTGTTCAGTAAATCAAGTTTCAAAGCTGACCACATAAGTAATCCATGCTATAACTTTTTTTTCTAGGATCTTGAATGATTTGTTATTTAATATATTGTATTATAGCCCATAGTGAACTGTTGATAAATTGAAAAAAATGTTCGGTCAGTGATGGTAAAAACAATTTTCACGGACAAATAATAAAGTGGACCAATTAGTAAAATCATTTTAAAATGAGCTTTCTTTGTTGTGTAAAATTGTTTAATCTTTATCATGAGTATAATTAAGTGAATGAAGTCAAATTAAATAATTAGCCGTGAGTTCGTGAATAGTAAGGATGAAAGAACCTCTCATAGACTCGAGATGAGCAGAGTGGCTCCATGTACGGCTGGATACCCATAGACCTTATCGTATTTCTTGCATCTCCATCCCAAAACTCTCCAAATTTTGGTTCACCATATTTGAAGATTTTTACTCGTCGATTCAAAAAATCTCTGCCATTGATATGTTGACAATACCAAGCTGTACATTGATTTTCATCGAAATTTGAGCGCCTACACAATCGTAAACCTACGTGGAATGGAGGCTCATAGGTCAAGGTACACATTACAAGTGCATAGCAATCACCATCATTTAATATTTTCAGACGATTAAAGTCATAATATCCATATGCGTCATTTGGAGTATTTCTTTTATTGCATCACGATCAGAATCAGGATAGCATTGAATCACAAGCCCGTTCATTTTATAAATTGGTATTCCTATTATAGATGCAAGCTATTAAAGGTATAATCAGAAAATATTTACGTTATCTTTAGTCAAAAGTGAAAGTCAAAATGAAATATAAAATAAAATGAACATACTTGGCGAAATATTTGTCGACCTATATCTTCCCTGTCTGACCAATCTAACAAAAGATCATGATAATCTTCACCAGCAACCTTTACTTTGATAGTAACTATTATAAATTACATTGAATTAATCATCACTTTACAATTTTTATTTACAAATATCAATAAATAGATGTTATTAAACTTACTTTTATCTGGAGTTTCATTACTTTCCATATTTCTCATGAAATATTTCCTTTAAAAGAATAGAAACATAACTATTATTGTTTGGACAATAAATCAGTTCCGAAGTTTTGATAAGTAAATGAACCTCAAAATTCAAATTATGTTTAGTCAAAATAAACTTAAACTTGAACAGAAAGAATCTCGACTTGATTGAAAGATGAAAACAAAGATTCCAAACTTAGTATAATAAACCTAAAAACCTGCTCTAGAGTCAAGTTTAGACCAATGAGCTCAAGATCAATTTCTAGATTTTAAGGCGCATATTTCAAAATGACACTGACAAAGCTTTTAATTTTGTAAAAAAATTCTGTATATTAAGTAAATTTATCTATTAATCTTGCTACGAATTTTCATTGCTAGTCAATTTGGTGCTTATTTTTTTATTTCCGTCTTTTTCGTCGTTTTTCGCATTCACTCACAATTTCTTTCTTATTTTTTATCTAATTTCAGGGTTCTCCGGTGAAAGATTTGTCAAAAGTTAAATCATCATCTAAAAAGGAAATTAGCCATGGGTTCGTGAAAAGGAAGGATATGATACGATTACTCCTCCTCCAGCTAGACGCAATTTGCAACTCGGTTTCAGGTACGGTTCGATGTCCATAGACCTTATTGTACTTATCTTATTTCCAGTGTAAAGTTGTCGATATTTCGATTCACCGTGTTTAATGATTTCTATTCGTCGATTCAAAAAATCTCGGCCATTGATATTTTTACAATACGAATAAGTGCATTGATCGCCATCAAAACTTGAACGATGGTGCAACCATAAATTCACACGAAATGGAGGCTCTCTATCCTGGAAATTGATAGAAACTGCATAACAATCACCATCATTGAAACGTTTCAAATAATCCAATTCAACATATTTTGATGGGTCTTGTCTTTCTATATTATCAACAACAAAAACAGATACATCTAGATGCTGCAAATACGGCTCCTGATACTCGTTCACACAACAATGAATTTAGCAAATGGTATTCCTGTTATCGATGCAAGCTGTTGAAGATATAGCCAGAAAATATTTAAAGTTAGAAGGCCCAAAAAGCTACGCGGATCAGGACTCACGGCAATACG